TTAGAGCCCTGTTTAAAACAGGGCTCTGTGGGGTCTCACCAGCACCAGGGCCTCACCAGGGCTCTGTGGGGTCTCACCAGGGCTCTGTCTGGTCTCACCAGGGCGAGATAGGGTCTCACCAGCACCAGGGCTCCGTAGGGTCTCACTGGTGCTCTGTGGGGTCTCAACAGCCTGGTTAGACCCTTCAGAGCTCTGGTGAGACCCCCTTAGTGCCCTGATGAGACCCCACAGAGGTTAAACCAGGGCTCTGTAGGGTCTCACCAGGGCTCCATAGGGTCTCAACAGCACCAGGGCTCCATAGGTTCTCACCGGTGCTCTGTGGGGTCTCATCAGCCTGGTTTAACCCTTTCAGCGCCCTGGTGAGACCCCACAGACCAGGGATCTGTGGGGTCTCACCAGGGCTCTGAGGGGGCCTCACCAGGGTAGCAGGGTTCTGTGGGGTCTCACCAGGGCTCTGAGGGGGCCTCACCAGTAAGCAGGGTTCTGTGGGGTCTCACCAGCCTGGTTAGACAGGGGGTTAACCCTTCCCTATGTTATCTAAAACATTAAAAAACAATTTGGGCTGGAGTTACACTTAAAAAATTTATCTGTTCCAACTTACATTCAAATTCAACTTAAGAACAAACCTACAGACCCTATCGTGTTCATAACCCGGGGACTGCCTGTATAGTAAATGTTAGCACGGGTTCTGGCTCTAAACCCTCCTTAGACATACTTCCTTTTATCATTTACTTACTTCCTTTAAAATTTGTTTCTATATTTTCTGGGACAAGTTCTTCACCGCAAAGGAAATTTTCCAGTCGTGCCAAAGAAACTCCAGTCTAAAAAAAATAAAATAATCAGTGACATTTGTTTGCAGTATATGTGGTGCAAAAAGATCACACTATACAAACTGACTGGGGCGAATGAATGAAAGTCACAACTAATATCAACCCATCATTTAGAGGTTTGCTTCTGTTTACCAGAGCAGTTTTTAAAAATGATAAACTGAAACTCACTGGTTGTCCTTTCCTCTAGTTTCCATAAATCAGATATGAAGAAGTTCCTATGCGTTATCATCTAAAGAAAAGAGGAAATAGGTACCCTACACGTCTAATGCAACCAGACAATTTCAACCATTAAAGGAGAACAATTTCAACCTTTAAAGGAGAACAATGGGCTTAAGTCTTTTCCCCATAGTTCTACTTAGGGTAACGGGAGGACACAAACTAGCGTCCTCCCGTCACCCTAGGATCAGTGTACCGCGAGATACAGCTATACTGAGACACCGCAGAATAGCGCAAGCAGCTGCTCGCGGTATACTGAGACGCCACAGCTGAAGCGGATCCAGACAATTGTGCCGGGATCCGCCCAGCTGCGTGACTGACAGCTGGCTCTGCCTATCTAGAGGCAGTGCTAGCTGTACCCGCCCCCTCCCCCGTCCGTTCCGCCAGTCAGCGCTGGCGGATCAGAGCGGGGAGGGGGGAATCCAGCCCCTCCCTTGTCGCGGCAGAGAGCCGTGACAGGATCGAGAGGTGAGCGAACGCCGGTATGTGTTCGCTCACCTCCCGATCTACTGAGCCGACCTGTGACAGTCTCATTGTCACAGGTCGGCTAGAACTATAGAGGTGAGTGAAAAGCACTTACCTCATAGTCCTCCTTTAATGGCAAAGAGCGATCAACTGAATGAATGTAATCACCAATAGTTTCTACTAGGGATGCACCGATACCACTTTTTTAAGAACGAGTACGAGTACCGATATTTTTTATCAAGTACTCGCAGATACCAATTACCGATACTTTTTCTTAAAGGGACAGGTCACATTTTTTCTAAAGCAATACAAACTAATGCTTTAAGGTCACTTTCTTAATATTATGATTCATGAGATGACGAGGGAGCATGACGCCGGCTTCCCGGCCAATCAGAATGCCGGGCGCTGCGTCATTACACGGCGCCCGGCTTCCGGATTTGCTAGCTTCCTGACCAATCGGGAAGCCGGGCAGCGCGTCATTGCACGCTACCCGGCTTCCTGATTGGCCGGGAAGTCGGCTCCATGCTCCCTCATCACAAGTGACGAGAGAGCATGGAGCCATTTCCTGGCCAATCAGGAAACCGGGCAACGTGTAATGATGCGCTGCCCGGCTTCCTGATACAGGAAGTACTCGTGCTAGGTATCGGAGCATTTGGGCGAGTACGAGTACTCACCCAAATACTCGGTATCGGCACCAATACCGATACTAGTATCGGTATCTGTGCATCCCTAGTTTCTACAGAAATTGTGAAATGATTGATACTGTCGGCAGGACTCTGCCCTGAACTGTTTGGTCTTTTTTGCAATCGTAGTTATATAAAAATTATCAAATTTGTCTAGAAATTGCAATGAGTATGACCAGCATTATACTCTTGGAAATTTTGTTGCTTTTAGTCATTTTTAAGAAACAATTCCTGGTCTTGGGCAGCCACAAAAACCCCAAAAAACTTTGATACAACACCCTTATTGAGTGGCACTAAGGAGGATCCCATCCCATTGTTATTATTTTATGTGCTGCAAATTAGGAAAAATGTTGCTGGAAGTTAAAGGAGATCTACAGTATGAGGTGAGTGATTTCCAGGCATCCTCATAGTTAGAGCCGACCTGTGACAAAGAAGCTGCCACAGGTCGGCTCTATTGATCGTGAAGTGAGCAGACACATGCAGCCAATCTGCTCACTTCCCTATCGCCTCCCTACAGTTACAAAGTTTTATTATACTTTTTACCAGTAGTTCACCAAGGGGAGGTAAAACTTAAACAGCAGAATATGGCAAATTACATAGACCCTTTCCATAGCCTTGTCCTTCCCTCCCCCTACATGTTTAGCTCCCTATCCTTATCTCTTAACAGATAATTAAACTATCTAAGCGCAGTTGATACCCCAGGCAGTGTTGAGGGATAGGCATGGAACTCTATGCCTTCCCCTCTCTTCCTCCATTTTTTTTTTTTTGTGTTATTTTATGTCGCATTCCCTACTTATACAGGAGGTTTAGGCCGGTTTCTTCCCGCTGACTAGCGTATTGAGATGACTGTTTGTACATGCAGGCTGATAAGTCCTCTGAAACTACCGATCTTACTGTTATGTCGACATGTGTATTCAACCTACTGTTTTGGACTTTGTATGCTCCTGCTCTTATACTTAATCAAAAATATATTGTTAAATAAAAAAAACTTAAACAGCAGACCTTTCGTTTTAGGTACAAGCTCTGCTTCAAAGATTTTTTTAGTTGTAGGGTGAACACTTTAATGATCAGTCCCTTGCACAGACATCCTTAGCTCTTCCACCAAAGTTAAGGAGATGAGTACTACAAATCATTGAATACCCCCCTCCCCCCACTCCCCCAACTTCCATGAAGAACCTCTTTAATGCAAAGCAACAGGAATATACTGACCTGCACTACTGATGAGATGACTGTAGGCAGATCGAACAATGGAAGTCGCAGGATGTTAAAGAGCGATATTGTAGTAAAAACTTTTGACGCAGTCAGAATGTTATCTTGATCTATCAGGAAATATACTCCAAATGTGGCAATGGAGACCTTGACAATAAAAGAAGGCAAACAATGTGTGTTATATATATTGTACATCACCCTATGCGATGATTTGAGTAGAAAGGATTTCTTCGTACATTCAACTTTTTGTAAAAAAAAACAACTACATTTTATGCTGATATCTGCATAGAGTCGGCAGGCTCATGAGGGTGGGGGTGACTCTAAACTCGGCAGGCACCATCTAGAACAGTGGTTCTCAACCTGTGTAACCTCAGGACCCACATTTGTCCTTGGTCATTAATCCGCGACCAAAGTTGCACTGCAATGGAACGCACGGCATTGCGGTACCGTGCGTTACGGGCGGGCGATTGAACTGTGGGCGGGAGGTGTGTTTGGGATGCCATTCAAATGAATGGCAATGCAATGCACCTCCCACACTAGAATTGCTTGTACAGCTCCCGTGGGCGCCCTGCAGAGGTGCTGGGAGCCAGAATGTGATGTCACTCCAGTCCTCTACAGGGCACGCGAGGGAGCTGTAAGCAATGCATGTATGGATGGAGCTCCCTCGTGGCCATAGCTTCAGCCCATCCAACCTCAGGCTGACAATCCGCGCCAGTCAGCAAATTCTGAATGGCTGCTCAGTGCAAGAACTGACGTTAGGGGGCTAGGGGGAGGCTGAGGAGCCTCTCACCTAAAAAAGTGGAAGGTAAGTTGCAACCCATTGAACACAGGGTCGCGACCCACTTTTGGGTCACAACCCACCAGTTGAGAACCGAGGATCTAGAAGACATAAAAATGGTCTTCACTTTACCAGCTGGTCTCCATCTGCATTTGCTCCTCTAGAAACCAATAAACTGTTAATAGAAAATGGATTTCCACTGGTCCCACTTCTCCAGTGTCTATAAACAGAGATGTGGCCACAGTGTTCAGGGGTGGAGTTTAGCTCAGGGCCAGGTACCCAAGGGTCCGTCACGGCTCTCTGCAGGCACAGGATCGAGAAGTGAGCGAGCGACGGTATGTGTTCACTCACTTCCCGATCTATTGAGCCGACGTGTGACAGTTTCATTGTCACAGGTCGGCTCGAACTATGAGGTTAAGTGATTTTCACTCGCCTCATAGTTCTCCTTTAAGCAAAAGTGATCCTGTAGTGACAGGGTCACTTTAAGATTATATTGGTAGCTATTAGTAACAGCACAGCAGTGCTTTCATCCATGTCACATTAAATACAGCCACAAGTCTTTTTTTCTCTATCCATATTACAACATAAAAAAAAACATCCCAACATATATAATGCAGTGACAACGCAACAGTACAGCTTACCATGAAAGGAATGCAGGTGAGCGTCAGCATAGAAAATGTGGTCAGATATCCAGAAGATTTTAGCACATCCATTTCCTTCTCCCTAATATCACCCACTTTCTTCTGGTAAGACGGTTCCCAGGCATACAGCTTTAGAATCTGCAGACATTGAACAGAATTCACATGAAAACCAGAATACGTAATAGAAGATGCTACAAGAAAGTATGGCGGGGACAGAGTCTCTTTGAAAGACTGTGCATAAGTGGAAATAAAAAATACATATATAAAACATTGCTTATGTAACTTATCCTTCTGATAGTTTATAGATGAAGATGTGTAATTTAAAAGAAGATCTGCTACTGAATAAATCTAAGAGGAATCTGAGATGATTTTCTTTCATCCTCTGTTATGTTATAAACATTAGATTATTTGTATCACTGGCTGCCCCTGAGGACCTTATAATCTGATGTCCTATAACAGCCACATAGGCAATCAAAGCCCAGCTTGCGAAAAAGCTAAAGGGAGACAGCCAAATAACCTCCAAATGGCAGTCCATCTGATTCAACTAAAATACCTTGTGAGTCACTGACCTGAAACAATATGAGTCAAGTCTGAAGTGATCTGCATGCTTGTGCTGGGCTAGCAACTTAGATATTAAACTACTAGAGCCATTTGATCAGGATGATTGCCAGTAAAGACTTGCAATGACAGCCACTGTATTTCTCTAAGCATGTTTCAATACATATACCTATGTGTTGTAAGAGTAAATTTGAACACACAAAGCATACCCATATAGGGAGATCATAGAAACTCTAGGCAGATAGCTTCTTTGATGGGAAGTGAACCCAGGACCCAAGTGCTGGAGGGCAAGTGTACTAATTTATATGCTGACAGAAGTTGTATCATGCTCACTGTACACCTTGCCCACAGTTCATGCAGGGTGGTGGTGTGATTTTGTGGATGACGCCACCATGTAGTCCTGGGAGGACAAGCATCTTTATCAGCTCACCTTGGTATGGCGATAATCTTGTCCTTTATCTCACTCTGCCTTGAGAGAGGGATCCTGTGAGGTCCCAAAACCACTAAACCAAAGTGTGCTGATATTTATTTTTCTAATGTATATTCTTACCTTTATTCCATGTAGGATTTCATTCAGTAACTTGATGCGTTTATCTTTACTCTTCAAATGGCTTTTCTGTGATGGTAGAAAATACGTTAAACTGGTAGACGTAATCCGGGGATCAACTCTAACTAATAGCAAAGAACTATCATTAAAGTGTATGTGAACCTGAACAATGAACTCCTCTCTGCTTTTCCTATGTTAAATATATCATTATAAAGTGTTTTGTTATATTTGTTTGATGGGTGCAAAACTACCTGTTGTTTCTCCATGGTTTGGAGAAGAGAGAGAGGCATTCTGTAGACCTAAAACACTTCCTGTCTTATGGTGACAATGCTTCTCCTTCATAGATACAGTACAGAAAGTGAGCGTTGTCACCCTAGTATAGGAAGTTTGTTACTTGCAGGATCACCAGGTGAAAATAAAAAACTAAAAAGTACACACCCATATCTAAAGACTAGAAGTTTCAATATATTCTTTTTTTTTTTTAGTTTTTGAGTTTAGAGAAGCTTTACGAACACCTGTTCTTACTTTATCAACTAAACATACACTGTATTTAGTATTTTGTTTTTAACAGTGGTTCACATGTGCCGTTTTTGGCCTCCTCTGTCCAGGTTTTGGTAAACCCAGAAGCAGCATTGATGGGGGACAGGATACATGGAGTAGGTATTATGCAATAAGATGAAAAAAGTACACAGTTCTCCATAGTTACCATTCAGATTTTAACTTTCATTACTCTTGCCCAAATAACCAACAAGGAATATATGTTTATATGGGTTAGAGTCCTTTGCTTCAGAGCCCTATGGCTCATTTGCTAGAAGTATAATAAATAAGTTACAATTTTGCAATAAAGCATCTTCTCTTAATAGGCTTTTACTTCAGTATGGAAAGAAGAAGTAAATATGAAGGAAGTGTTCACTAAATATTTTATTTCTGTACAAGTGTGGCAAAGCAACTACATAAATTTCCTCCCAACTTATCTCCTTTTCCCTATGATTTAGAGGGTGATTTTCCTTGTTGCTTGGCAGGTAGGGAACCAAATTTGGGCTGGTTGATCATGGAGACACAATTCAACGGCCTGACTGGTGGGCAACCATGCAAAACGTAGTAACTGTATTGAAATTCGCATGACCCCTGGAGTCAAGTTTATTTAGTAGACCCAATATCAAATAGCAATCCTTGGTACCGAGATTCAAGGGGGCATACCACTTGTCATCCAACTAAACTGTACATACAGTTTGGTAACGTTTGGCCATAAGACACCTAACCATGATGTTTTTCTGCCTCCTTACATTATTCTGAAGTTTTATTAGTAGTAGGAAGCAGATGACAAGGCTAACTCTAGAACTTACCATTCTAAATAAGAGCAATGTAATCTCCGATGTAACCTGCGCTCATTTAAACATTTACCTCCGCACATAAATACATTAAAAAATGCTGACCCTCTTTAAAACCAATAAACTTCCAAATACCTTCAGCTGCTTTACTTTAGCAGCAATGTAAGCGTTCAAAGGTATGACCAGGACCAGCACAGCCACACCAGCCAACACGGATGGCCCAAGCTCCTGCCACAGGAAGAAGATGGCCATGAGGATCTGGAACGGGGCGGACCACAGCAGATTAATGTTCACGGTGAGGTCCATGAGCTGCTGGGCATCCGAGGACATCAAATTTACCAGTTCCCCTGTTGTAAATTTCCTCCGAGTAGAGTTTGCCAAGTTCAGTGACTGAAAAGACAACAGGCTGATGTTGCAAAATGTGTCTTAAAAAAACATCTTGAAAGAGTTCAACTGTGACAACAAAACCTGGTATATAAAATGTTGAAGATGAACACACATATAATGACCACAATACATGAAACCAATTCAATTTCTGAAAGACAACTCTTCCTGTGAAAATGTGGAGAGAAAGTATAGACCGGAGGAGGCAAACTATGGCCCTCTAGCTGAGCTGCCATTACAAATTCAGTTAGGCATTGGAAGACTCTGACAGTCACAGGCATGGCTCCCAGTGGCAGATGAATGAGGAGATGTGTAGTTTCACCACAGCTGAAGGGCCTGGTATAGACTATTGCAGGGTCCCTTCCACACAGTCTCCGACCAGGAAGGGATCTGTACACGGATTCCCTGTTGATTGTTTTGATCCGTGTCCATCCAGTTATATCTTCCGTCTTGCGATGGAGAAAAAAAACTGAAATTACCGGACCCCATGCCGGTCTATGGGGAATCGGATGTAAACGGACCTCTGATCTGGCACCTTCAGGTCCGTTGACAAGGAACTCTGATTCTGATCGGAGATGGGGGTAACCTGATGTAAACGGACGCCCATCCTATTAGATCTGGCTGCCCACAGACTAAAACCATGATTCCGATCAGGTCCGTCTGAAAGACTAACAGGCAGACCTGATCGGAAAGCCGGTGTGAAAGGCTCTTAGAGTTATCAATGCAATTTTAATGTGACTCACATTTTTTTTTGTATGTATGAATAGCTGAGCCAGTAGCGACCAGAAAAAAAGTTCTGTTCCCATGATCAATCAGCATGATTGGGTGGAGGGGGGTGTTCCCACATATTCCCTTTTCCTTTGCATACACATTTGGCACGGTGTCAGGTCTTACACAGCATTTTAGGAAATAAAAGGGGTAATGTGTTTTTACATTGATAGACTTTACCAGGGCTTCATTTCAATAATTATCCTGCTTTCTATTTTGTCATGAGTTTGTCTTTAAAATGAAATTTGCTGTGTACAAACATAAGAAAGATGCATTATTCTACCATAAAAGACATAAAACATAGGACTGTGTTGTGTTAGTGGTGGTGGGGGGAGTACCACTCTGACCACTAGATGGTGCTATATCTCAGTCTCAATCAAGGAGACAATCTTGCAGCAATTTTAATGCCTAGTTTAATAATTTTGTCACTGGAAACTGAAAACATATTGTAACAGTTTGTGTCAGATTATTGTTGTTGAAAGCTGATTGAAATCTGGAAAAAAGTCAAGAAAATTACCAAGTATATAACCAACAATACTGCTAGGTAAGTAGTGGATAAGGGCTTGAAGGGAGAACGGACATTGTAACAGGCACTTTAAGCTGCGGCAATACTTTTATTCACTTTTTGGGAGTACATTGTTACTCTACATGTAACATGTTACAAACCAGGGTAATTCAAACAGAGCATATGATGAAAAAGTGCACTGGCAGAGGTAACCCTCAGTGAAAATGATCAACAGATCCAGTGACAGAAAGCTGGTATAGGCAAACCTCAACTTTCCCCAAGCCTCCCTATTGATCAGTAATGCTGCCCATCATCTTGAAGGGCCAATAGAATGTTCATTACAATGCCTAGATCTCTGGACCAATGATTGTTTTGTCATTTAGATTTCACTGAAGGTAACCTCAGGGCTGGATTTCCCACAAGGCCAACCAAGGCCCGGCCTTGGGGCAGCAGGGAGTAGAGGGGCAGCAGGGGTGTAAAATTCCTATCTCCCGATGCCTGCGACATGCAGTTCTGGCTGCCGGGTGGGTAGTTGTTTTCTACATTTAGCCTTGCTTTGGGCAAGCAGAACTAAATGTAGAGCGGGAAAGCCGCTGCCTGTTTCATACAAGTGATCTCAGAGATGTCGCTGAGATCACTTGTATGCATCCTGCAGATCTGCCATTCTCCGTGGGGTGGGGGGAGTGGGTGGGGGGATGGGTAGGGGGGCGCATTGAGGAACCTGGCCTTGGTGCAGCAGAGAGAGTAAATCCGGCCCTGGGTAACCTTATACATTTATTCATCATTTGCCCAGACTGAGTTGTCTAGATGTGCGACAAGTTAAATTCAAAGCCCTTCTTCAGGCATAGCAAAAAAAAAAAACTACCCTTGCAGTGGGGCTGCCCTTGCATTGCAAAGGTTAAGTGCTCGATTATGCCTAGGGGACTGGAGTAAAGCAGATTTTTTTACCTGATCCCCCGCTCCCCTGGCAGTCAGCGATCACCTCTCTCCCCTATGCTCAGGCTGGTGGAATGTCACTCGGCATCTTCATGTCTAATGCAGGTCTATGGAACCTGGCAATAGAGATGATGATGTCAGAAGTCTTTAGACTGTTGGATCCAAGGGGAGAAGAGGTTGTGCAGCCTGGAGGGGGATAGAGGGAGCCAGGGGGAGTGGGGATCAGTTAAGTAAAATAGCTTTTTCTTGTATCCTAGGTATAAACGAGCACTTACCCCTTACCCCTTGTAGCGTGGGGGCAGCTCCACTGCACGGGTAGTTCTTTGGTTTGCCTGGAGATGGGTTTTATTGTGAGCAAATGAATCAGGGACACGCAGACCTACAGTAAGATGGGAAAAGGCAAATGTAGCCCGTTATCTATATTTCAGGTCTGCCGATATGCAACATTTTTTATAGGTAAGGCCTTGTTCACACCAAGCGCGGAGCAGGTGCAGACCAGAGCAGTTACAGACCGGAGCAAAACTGCGTCCAATGTATTCCAATGGTATTTTTAGCTCCAGTTCACATAGCAGCGTTCAGTTCCAGAGCAGGTAAAAAAAAAACTGCAGCAGGCCCTATTTTACCTGCTCTGGAATGCATCAAAAATGCATGCAAAGGCCTGGAACACACTGAAAGCCCATGTTAAACTAAAAAAAAAAAATATTTTTTAAAAAAAACCAAAAACAGCCCGGAACGCATCAAAAACACGGCACAACCCACTGCACTGCGTGTGCAGAAACTCATGCAGATCTGCTCTGCATTTGGTGTGAACAAGGCCTCAAAGTCAAGGTAGCTTTTAGTTCCAGTCAATGATAATAAGAAAAGCAAAGTAGCACTTGTAGTTCTTCAGCAGTTGGCAAGCCCATGTTTGCTCAAGCCTGAGCAAGGTACAGTACTGGTTTTGCCAATCCCGGCATGTTATATATATATGCAATGAAAAGAATACTGAACATTAATGATTAATTTCTAACTATGAGCTGTAGTAGTCAGAACTCCACAATCACTCACATTAACCTACACAGGCGTGTCACACTTCAGTGAACCCTCTGAACCTTTTCATCCAGCTACCTTATAGGTATTCCCAGGGTTATTAAATAAAATGGAGCAGAACGTTGGGAGCTTAGGTCATAACCTTTATTGGCTAACTTGAGTCATTGAAGATGCAAGTTTTCCGCATTTATTAGATTCCTTCTTCAGGCTTTATATAGTTTGGAAAATGGTTATGAAACCCACATATTTATAAACAAGGAGGAGCAATAGATATCTGGGTTCAGAACCATTTTCAGAATTATATAAAGCCTGAAGAAGGGATCTAAGGAATCCCGAAAGCTAACTTCATTCATACGTTTGCTACATTATGTAAAATGGTGCTTTCCTCCTCCTTTACTAAATTTACAACAAAAAAATGTTAAAAAAAAAAATAAGAAAAGGTGTTTCTGAAAAGACCTGCCACCTTTCAGCTAGGTGCAACTAAGAAAAAAGGTCTATAGCCCTGAGATACACTTCAAGTAAACCTTTCCCAGCAGCTCACTGACTAAGTTTATGCGATTGCAATCAAGGTGGAGAGATGACTGGACAAAGAGTGCTTAGCACCTACTGGTGGCCATATTGAAGCATCTGGACCTATAGCAAAGAAACAGGTATTTGTTTTTCTCAACTTATAAGCCCTTTCATTTATCTGTCCATGGCTGCAGCGACCTCTTGTATTGAAGGGTCTGGAGACACTTTCATAAATAAGGCCGAATGTGAAGAATTAAAAACTGTCTTACAAATGTTTTGTTCTACTTTATCTGATTGGCAGTTCCATGTGTTTCCATCTTACCTTCTTATATATCATCCCAATGACAGCCGTTTTAAATTTCACCGCAGTCAGCATGTTGTATCTTTGGTAAAGTTGTAGGATCAAAGTTTGTAGAATGGTGACTATGAGAAGAGACACGGCAAACATATAGCCAGTCCTGGAGTCGCCCGACTGCTTCTCGCAGAAAGTTATCATCTGCCTACAAGAGAAAAGACAATAAATCCTTTGCTGACTATGGACTCCTGGAAGAAGGTGATGGGGGGGAAAGTGTGCTATAAAAAGGTAGAATGGCTTCTCAGCAGGCCGCAGCCTGGGAACTCCTTGTGATAGGAGATGCAGATAAGTTGAGATGCAGATTGTACTTCTTAGAATTTTGCTAGCATAACTAAGCATGGTTATTGCTGGTTCTATGTATTACTGCCCTGTACAGTATATGATGCCTGTATTTGTTATCAATGGGCTACATGTACACATTACTTATTAATGTACATCTAATACATTACACAAACACACACCCACACCCAGTACACATCTACAATGTACATCTACAATACCTGTACATCTCCAATATATTCATATTAGAGGTGCACTGAAATGCAAATTTCAAAACCGAAATTTAAAAAAAATGTCGGCCCGAAACCGAAAATGTTTTTATTTTAACTTTTTCCAAATTTTTTTAAAATATTTTATTTTTGATAAACTTTAATTTTTTTATATTTTTATTTATTCATTTTTATTAAATATTTTTATGTTTTACTTTTACTTTTAGGGGCTTCGGGGAAATATTGGGGGTCTAAACAGACCCCTGATATTTCCCTTTTAAAATAGAAAAAAAAGATTGGAGACAGAGTCCTCAATCTCTGTTTCTGTATCCGCTATTATAAATGAACAGGAATCCTCTATACTGAGTGTTCCTGTCCATTCATAACATGAGGACAGAGTGTGTTTACTATAACCACAATCATGAATGAACAGGAAGTGATGTAGATCACTTCCCATTCATTCATAATTGAGGATGTAGTAACCATGCTATGTCCTCAATTATGTACAAACACTCAGTGATTGTACTCGCTCTCCTTCCTGACAGCTGTTACAGGAGGCTGGGCGAGCGGTGCAGGGACAGGAGGCAGAGCGGTGTGGGAGGAGAGACACTGGCCGCTCGAAGCGCTCGGCCGCCTGTGACAGTTTCTCTCCTCCCCGCTGGGCGCTGCTCTGTGTCCCAGCGGGGAGGAGTGAAAGCAGGGATGCGCCGCTATATCGGCCAGAAAATTGCACTTTTGGCATTATGTTTCAGCGGCCGATATATCGGTGCATCCCTAATTCATATACATTAATACATATCTACAATGTACATCTACAATAATCTCCCTTAGCGCACTCACGTCTAATACACTGCATTAGACATGATGACTTACGGATCCTTAGCCCACCAGAGCCTTGGGGAGGAGAGATTGTGGGGACCAGTCTAGCAACCAGGTAGGACGGAGGATTAGGTGAGTTTATTTTGTTGTTTTACTAGCTGGCATTTGAAGTGGTAATTTAGCTGGTTGCTGGTTGCCCTCCGTATCGGGCCGCTCCCGAGAAGGACAGGTGATGTGTGTGATTGTACGCAGCAGCCTGCTCTTCTCTATGGGAGTACGTGGCCGTACGCTCACCTGAGCTGCACATTTGTCCGGGTGTCCATACTCGTACGCATACAGGATGGATCCTGCCTGCGTCCAAACACAGACACCCGCGCGGATGTGCAGTTCGGGTGAGCAATCAGATGAACAGGCTGCTGCGTACAATCACATGCAGCACCTGTCCTTCCCGTGAGCGGCCTGATGCGGCCATGCACGCCGCACGGACCTGTACAGGCCAGCTCTTAGCAGTGTGAATGAGGCCTTAAGACAATAATAATATAATGAATTAATAAAATGAATAATTGAACAAAACCTTGTTTGATGAAATGCATCTCACTCACTTTAAAATCTGGGGGCTTGTAAATGCCAAGACGTCCGCCATTACTTTCATCAGAGCCACATAGATTAGAGAATACTTGAAGGTGCTCCATAATGCTCTCAGCAATGACGTCTTCCTGGAACTGGAATCCTGGGAAAATACAACAATGGAGACACTATTTCAGTTACTACTAAAAATCTGCATAGAAGAAAAAGAAGAGAGAAAACATTAACAGGGTTATTCACAAAAGGGTGAAGAGTTTGGAGGAGGCCGGAGAAGGGAACAATAAGGCCAATATAGCTGAACTGGAAAGTGAGAATTTTTCCAAATCAGCTATTTTGGCCTTATTGTTCCCTTCTCCAAACTCTTCACCCTTTTGTGAATAACCCTGGATGTAAAAAGGAACAAATAAAACAGTTCTCTACTGGCCATATCGAAGGATTATATTCAATGTACAAGTTTTCATATCATTTATAATACAAAAGAAGCTCCTAGTGAAATAAGATTTTATTGCTACTCGTCTCTACCTTCTACATATATTGTCTACTGCTGATCCAACCATGCTTAAAGGACAAGGGGATTTTTAGTACGCTCATCCTTTATAAGCCAAACTTTAGGCAGTTTTCTTTTGAATGGTCCTCTAGGCAGTGTTTAAAACAAAAAGAGGTTTGGCTACAATACACTTTTTAGGTTATTTATTAATTCATTACAGGTATTTATATAGTGCTGACAAATTATGCAGCAGTTTACATATTGCACATTCACATCAGTCCCTTCCCCTTTAAGGAGCTTACAATCTAAGGTCCCTATCTCACATACATACAGGACCAATTAACCTACTAACATGTCTTTGGAGAGTGGGAGGAAACCAGAGAACACCCATGCAAGCACAGGGAGAACATGCAAACTCTATGCAGATAGCATCTTGACCAAGAATTGAAACATGGACCCCCAGTGCTGTAAGGCAGAAGTGTTAACCACTACAACACTGTGCTGCTAATACTTTCTTTCTTACTTTCTTCAAAGCTGAACTCCGGGATAAGCAAATATTGTCTGAATACAAGAGTCATGTGTATTCTTCCTGGAATCTTGGTGCACTTTGTGTATTTGTTCCAGATCTGTGCAGTAATCCCGTGTGAAACTTGGAGCTTCCTGTAATATAGACCGGTCACTGCTGCTCTCTCTCCTTGTGCAGGCTGACTGGTCTTGTATCCGCCCCCTGCTGTAGCTTTTGTTTTTTTTTAAACTAAAGTGGGTGGAGCCTGACGGGTCCCTCTCACAGCTCTGCTCTGTGCACAGGATATGTACAGCTCAGTGATGATGTCACTGCTACTTTAACATAGTAATATCCAGGTTTGCCAAAGCATTTGGTGCACACAAAGTTGATTTACAGTATCTCCTTTTTGGCTATTGAGGAATATATTTGAATGGAAGCTTCTGTGTCTGGAAATCAGGTTTAAGGTAATCAATAGTAACCGAGAATATATTATACTTTTTTTTTTCATTTTGGATAGAGTGGGGAAGTTTCCCCCTCCTGTCAGGTTTATATTGCAGTTTGTGTCCCCGTTAGGTAGAGTTGCACTCCATATATGTCCTGGTGACTAGAGATGAGCATGGGCTTGCTGTGAACCCAGTTTGCCTTAGTTTGCTCAAGCCCACTAGAAGCTGTGGCCAGTGGCGTCACAAGGAGAGTGCGGCCCGCACCCGCGTGCCGGGTGAACGTCCCCTCCTCTCTCTGCCGGCGTCCATCACCAAGATGGCCGACGGCAGGCATCAATCAGATGGTCGCGCATGCGCGAGTTGACGTCCTGCGCACGAGCGATGACGACACGGCGGGGTGCCACCGGGTCTAGAGACCGGGCGACACCCGGCCTCTGGACGCCCCTGGCTGTGACCGTCACCCCCTCCCCTCCTGGCCCAATCAGTGGCAGCAGTTGCGGTGGGGACATTCCCTACTCCTTTGTGATCTGTAGCTGCCGCGTGAGGAATGTACCTGCCTCAGCTATTTGGGCTGGGAGGAAGGGGTGACTCATAGTTTTGAGCAGGCTTGGGCAAACTCCAGCGAAATTGGGGCACACCAAGCCCAGGTTCAGTGGCGGACCTAATAACCAAAGGGCCCTGGTGCAAGATTTTATCCTGGGCCCCCCTCCCAAGCTGGGGGGGGGTGCGCGGGAGCGCATCACACTGGCCTCCGCAACCCCCCCCCCCCCAGGGGGTCCCTAATGTTGCAGTAGCATGCTGGACTTACCTGAGACCCTGCAGAGCACACCATAGATCCTGCATAGCCCACCTGAGACTCTCCCAGATGGGTCTGGTCGCTGGGGTCCCTTTCCCTGTACCTCCTCCCAACTCTTCTTACCTGCTGCTGCTGGGGCCCGGCCTCCTCCACCCCTCCCCTGTCACCTCTGCCATGCGGCCCGGGTACAGTTGATACCCATGTAAGAGGCTGTCCAGACCCCTCACATGGGTACCGGCCATACCCCCCTGATGGCGGTGTTCTATCAAAGGTTGTGACTACGTTAGAATGTGTGACCGGTGACGTGGTCACACGTTTTAACATAATCCCGCCCAGTTTTTCGGCGCTGGAATGTGTGACTGCCAATAGGTGAAGCATTCCAGCGCTTTCCCAGCTGTACCAGGGCAGAAAGGCATCGCAAATCGCATGTGCAGGAGAACCGATCTGCCCTGAAACAGCTGATCGGTCCTGAAATGTCACTTCTCTCTAACTGCGATCTCACATTTCACCGCACTCACAAAGTCGGATAGAAGTGACATTTCAGGACCGATCAGCAGTTCCAGGACAGATCGGTTCCCTGCACATGCGATTTGCGATGCCGATCTGCCCTGGAACAGCTGGGAAAGCGTTGGAATTCTTTACCTATTCCACCGCCGAAAAACTAGGCGAGATTACGTTTAAATGTGTGACCACGTCACTGGTCACACATTCTAACGTAGTCTCAAACTGTGATAGAACAGAGGCCTGTCTGTAATCATTTAATCAGAGAAATAGATTATAATAGGGAACATTACAGTGTAATATTCCCCATTATAATCCACGTCTAATGACATGATGTAAGACACCCCCCCCCTTCCCCCGCTCAGACTCACCCTTCCAGGAGCAGCAGCCATGTGTCGATGTGTGCACTCACTGCAGGGGGCGGGGCGTGTGACACACACACGTCTCCTGTGACTCACCTCCCCTCCCGCCGCCTGTTACTATGGACGCGGCCGGGAGGGGAGGTGAGTCACAGGACCCGCCCCCTCACTAAGAAGCCCGTCGGCAGTGCGAGGCCCCGGTGTTCTAACACCGGGACCCTGCACTGCCCCATATTGCAGGACCGGACCCAACTGAGGCTGTGGGGGTGCCCAGGACCGGACCCCACTGGGGCCCCCCCACAGCCTCAGGCCGCGGTGTGCCGGCACCGCCCGCAGTTTCGCCACTGCCCAGGTTCATCACTACTGGTGACCATGGTCTTGGTAGAGAAAGTGATAAGAGATCCAGTATATTAGAGCTATTACAGGAACAGGAGGTGAGAGGAAATTTTACCAGTAAAGACACCTGTTCCAGTGAAAACTATCAAAAAGGGGATATTTCCTACTCTATCCAAAACTAAAAAACAACAATGGCTTGGAGTTCGGATTTAATTTGATAGTTAAGTCCATCTAAATCTGCTGGTGTATCCAGAGGCGCAACTAGAAACCCCAGGGCCCCGGTGCAAGAAACCATTGAGGCCCTACCCCCCCCCCCCAATAAAAACATGATTTTGATACTTTTCATTTAATAGAAGAAAAAAAAAAAGGTATGTTTTTTGTTTTTTTTCAGGGCTAGTTCACACCAGCTCCAGTGTGTTCCGGCCGATTTAGTGCTGGAACACACTGGATTGCAACCCGTCCAGCTCACTGCGTTCTGGGGTGTTCCAGCAATGCATTAAATGTAAATAATAACAGCTTTTTAACCCCCCCCCCACACACACACACACAAAACACACACACATTTGTGCATCCCTACTTAATAATATAATGTATTGCTGGGACTTGTGGTCCTGCATAGTTGGTGCTATTCTGTATTGCTGTATAATCATTATACAGTAATGCAGAATAGCTCCAACTATGCAGGACCGGGTCTGGCAGTCTCCGGGTCCTAATTTAGGTGGCCGGAGACTGCCAGATGACCCCGCTCGGAGCGCCGCCCACCGGAGCAGCAGTGACGCGACGCTCGGCGAGGTAAGTAAGAAAAAAATACGCCGCAGCGGCCAGTCAGGTGAGAGGAGCTCCAGGTGGGGTTCATAGAGTTACAATTCTCCCCTGCTAACATGAATAGGTTAAACCATGATCCATAGTACATAACATGTAGTTGTACTATGGATCATTGAAAGTCACCTGTCCCTTTAAGAAAAAGTATCGGTAATTGGTATCGGCAAGTACATGAGGGGATGTACTTGTACTTGGGCCTGAAAAAGTGGCATCGGAACATCCCTAATAATAACAGCTTTTAACCGTCCGCCCCCCCACACACACACAGGTGCATCCCTACTTCATAACATAATGTATTGCTGGGACTTGTAGTCCTGCACAGCTGGTGTTATTCTGCATTGCTGTATGATGATTATACAGCAATGCAGAATAGCTCCAACTATGAAGGACTACAAGTCCCAGCAATACATTATAATGTAAATGATAATAACAGCTTTTAACCCCCCGCC